TTATTTGTATTTTAAGTAGTTTTAGATTTGTTAATAAAATATATGTTGTAATCCTACAGAGGGCGGTTGCCGTGTGCATGGAGTCATCAAAATGTTGAATTTGCGGTGTTTAGTAGAGAGTATAGTTAGTGAGTTTCGTTGTAAAACTGAAAGTTCTTCTCCACGTATCTTGGCATATCAAGGTAAGAATTCTATTTTGCAAATTTGATGATAGTATTGTTTACCATAATTATGTCTGAGAACAATAAAGTTAAAAATGAACTATTAATTATTACTATCAGAAGTAACTGATTATTACTAACTACTAGTAGTATTACTATTAGTACTACTACTAGTACTAACTAGTATTATTGAGTATTGTAATTTGTAGTAATAGTTGTTAATTGTTATTCGATTAAAATTTGAAGTATTAAAAACTCTTAATCGAACGAACATGTAAGCTGTAATAGCTGATTAGCTCTACTAGTACTAGTAGGGTGGATATGATATACTTATCAACCTTACTAAGTAGTGTTAGTACTAGAACTAGTAGTAGAGCTAACTAACTTAATACTTACACTTATTACACTTCTAAGTTAAATACATGTCTTTTGAGAGGTCAGATAAATAAAAACTATCAACAGCCAAAGTTGTTGGAGAAATTTTAAACAGTTCTTGTAACATATGAATCCATGATATTGAGATTAATAGATTATAGAGTAATAATAATAATATAAAGAGTGAATGCCAGTGTGACCTCTAGGCACTGTTACAGTTATAACAAGTGTTTGTTTCTGTGATTCTGTGTGAATCATCTGTGCACAAGACTCAATACTACCCTATAAAGTTTGAATATTCAGCTAATGGTTTTATATAATGTATATTTAATTTTAACCAACTTTAGTATATATACATAAATACTTGTATGTAGGGTCTAGAGCCAATACTACGAGAATGTTTCTAACAGCCAGTTAAAATTTGCATTTTTTTAGTTTGGTATTAAACAGGAAATGTAGTAATTCAGCATCATGGTACAAGTAACAAAACTGATATAAAGTATTGAATATATGGCTATTTATTTGAAAATATTTTTTTTAAATGAAAGGGTGAGTGATAATACTGTTAATGCACCAAAAATTCTTTTAAATTTTATAGTGTGAGATTTAAACAAATAATTTGTATAGTGCTATGCATGTGTTATTGATAGGAACTTTCTTAGGCAAACAAAATATGTTATGATTTTGAAATGTGTATGTTTATCATATGTGTTCACACTTATATTACGTCATTCTTTGTTCACCATTTTTGTTAATATTATTAACATTAAGTTATAACAGATTAAATCCATGTTAGGATAATTTCACAATAGAGAAGTACAATAATTACACATTATGTAGAAAGTATTTATAATTTTTAGTTTTCCAAAGTTCAGCTTTTTTTTTTTTACATGAATTTCTTAGTTTTAAAATGTATGTTAAACAGATAATTGACTTTTACAACTAGTGGAATGACTAATTGAACATTTTTCTAAAGTGTACATTATTTTGTAGAAACTAGAATGAAGAATATTTGTAAATTGTAAAATAAAATATTCTCTTTATATACAAATAATTTCATATTTAAGTAGGTGAATAAGAATACTCATAGTTATATTAATCATATTACAAATTGTATTAAAATTGTACAGACTTAGTTATATTGCATTTAATTGTTTTGTATGAAATAATTTCTTTAAATGCTGTTTTCTTATTTTAAGGTATATGAAAATATTAGTGCACCTTTTATGGTATTCTGTTTTATTCACACATTCATATTATTAACTTGTACTTTTGTAATTAGTTAAATAATTTTATGCTAATCCTCTGTCAAAGATACAAGTAAAAGCTACCTTGTATTATTAAGCTTGAAATGTGGGTTGATTGAGTCTTACCATAACTTAAGTTTCCATATGTAAGTAGAGAAACATTTGAAAATCTAAGTCTACATATTATATTTGATTAACTGTTATAGGGTTTGGAGAGTGTATCCTTCCTAAATTTTTACATGTTGGTACTTAACTATAAATTTTGTAATCATGATATTCAAATTGTCCAAATTATTCAGAGTATTAGACTGGAAATTAACCCAACATTGTGATTGTATTTATCTCATCCTATTTTCAGTTTTAAAGAGCAGTACTATCTCTACATTATGAAATACCTTGAATTATAATAATTGTAATGATCACTGAAGTGTAGTTTATGAAAGAAATAAATCATTAGTGTATACAGTTCAGTCCTTTCTTCTAGGTGTCATTTGGAAAAAATTGTATTAAGTTGCAAATTTTCAAGTAAATATTTTTACAATAAGCTATGGTTTATTAATTCCGCTTAAGTCTGTGTACTAATCTCACAAGTAGTGATTCTTTTGTTTTCAAGCAAGTATTTTTTCATTCTCAAACACATTTTGCCACTGGAAGCCTCCAAAAATCTTATTTTTCCAAAGTTACCTTCAGAGGAACATAAATTTATGATCCATGGTCTATCATCTTTAGGCCTCTTGGTGATTCAACAGGAAACTTAAGAGCTTATAATGCTAAAATTCAGGGTTTGATCCAACCCTATGTTGGGGATACCTTTAGCAGTTTTTGCATAATGACAAGCAAATAATCAATCTCTTTGGAGCTACTTATGACAAAGTAGTGATGACCATTTTTTTGGCAAGGTCATATTTATTAAAAAAAATTTGTTAGCACATTACCATAGGTTTTCAAAGTTTTTGTTAATTTTGATATCCGATTGTTTTGTTTTTGAGCTAAAAAAAATTCAAAACAAATACTGGAACTAGATCTGTATACACACAATGCCTAGCCTTGTTGAGTTGGTAAATTTAGCAGTAAAAAAACAATAAAATATACATGCTGAAAAGTAGTGTACACACATTGTACTACCAACCAGTGTGATGATTCTGAAAACTGAGTTTTTTAAATTTCTTCAAAAAACTGCTTCTTGAAGTATTCTGACAATAGCTGGTTGTATTATATGCCATTTTTAGTGAGACATTAACCTTATGTAATTTGAGAATGTATGCATATCTATTATTTTTACACGGTTATGTTTTGTTTTCCAGTTTAGTTTACGATATCACAACACTATTTAAAAATATTTTTGGTATCATTGAACATTGATTACAGTGAGGCACAAATATAAGTACAGATTATTATAAAACGTTCTTTGACAAGTAGTATCGAAAACTTATAAATAGTATTTCAAAGCAACACTACAAATCAACAGATAACCCAATTTTGGATAAATGTTTAAAATACTAAACGTCTTGCATATCTATGTGATTTTTATATGTTATTGCACTATTTTTCCAATATCTTAGAAAATATTTATTTGATATATGAAAACTACTCATAAACGGCATGTTTTATTGAGAGCGATAGAAAATGAAAAGAGCTGTATTAATTGTTTTCCACGTATGGAACCCCTGAGAGAATTGATTATGATTATGCAGTCATCAGAATAATGTATTTTTTTAAACTGAGACTGTAGATGAAATATGTTACATAAAACTTTGATACCTATATATATTTAATATCATTGTTTGTACGTGCATGTATGCAGGAGGGGGTCGAGGGGATTTGCCCGAACCTCCTATTTTTGTGATAAAAAATACTGCTACTAAGTTCATGTTCATGTGAACGTTCGGATCGGCATCTGCTCTTCGCAAGTTGAATAATTACCTGAGGTGTACACAAATCAAAGAAAGGCCGAGTGCTCTAGCTTTCATACATAAACATTATGACACTGCTATCAACACTGAAACTATATGTAAGTTATGTATGGAAAAGCACCCAATTAGAATGGAGCATGTTAACATATTATTTCAGTTGTGCATACATATACGTATGTGATAACCAATGATTGAAATAGCTCATATACTATTGTTGTACAGAGTTGTTTAAATCAGTAATATAAGTTAACAATCAATAACTACTCTACAATAACTACTATCTACAGTACTTTACTATAATAAACATACATATTTATGTTAATTTAAGTCTAGCTTCCCATGCAGTGTCAAAATATAATGGTGATTTGTTGACTTTTCATTGGATGTTTGTGGATTTTATGTGAACAGCCATGCAGTTGTTTAATCTATAATTCATGCAGAATTTCTTCCAGATTTAATCTCATGGCACCCTTTTTTCTTTTACAAACTTTCTGGGGGAGCATAACCCCAGACCCTCGTAGCATCAGCATATTTTACATGCTGATTGTGCTTGGTACAATATGTGTTGGCTTTTGATCACACTGATTATGTCATCTACATCATATTTCAGCAAGGTGTAAAGTTTTGAGAATATTGTATATACAAGCAGTAAACGAAAATAATTAAAAATGATTGTCTTGCTTGAAACGGAAAGGCACTAATTACGATTGTTTCTATGGTGATCAGGCGGTGAACTCGTTTCGTTATGAAACGGAGAAGGGGAGGGAGACGTAGATATCAAATCATTTCCACACCTATGTGAACGAGAGTAATGTAACTTTATAAAGAAATATGATTTGTGTGGAGAAAGGAGATTGTTTTGCTCATGGAAAACACCTAGTTAAACAGGCCGCGTATTCCTTTATTTTTCATACCATATTGAACGAATAACTTAAATAATTTTTGATAATAAGAATTATGAAGTTTTGGAGATCTCGACAAACATTGTTTTGAAACAGATACATTGTCGATGCAGAAAACAAAGGCTGATTTTATTCATATCATTTAAACCTTGCATGTGGTTTTGTTTTATGTGAATTTACTGTGAATGTATAAATGTAAAAATAGAGAGAGTCAAATGCTTCTTTTCTCATTCACACGATGAGTAGATGGTAGAATAGATATCTAAAAGAAATAATGACCAACCATGAAAATCTGCGATTATCACCTTAATCCCGAAGAAAGTTCAAAAATACTAGTGACTTCCACCCAATTAGCCTAATTAACTATTTAGCTAAACTTGTGGATAAAATAATAACGACAAGACTGTCCTGACTACTTGAAACAAATAACACACTTTCTCAAATCCAAAATGCAGTAATTACAAACAGGCAAACCGCAGATCACCTAGTCAACTTTAGATGGTTTCAATAAATTTCAAGCCACAATAGTCACCTTTCTAGATGTTCAAAAACTTACGACACTGTCTTCACAATGGCCTTAAATT